TATGTGACGTGATGGGCTGGTAGTTAATAGTATGGCAGAAGTAATTTTGAAAATTATAAATGAATAAATATAATGTACACTTTATACAATATTATGTCAATAATATATAGAAAAAGCAGATAGAGGTGGGAAACGAGAAGAGAAAATGAAGAAATTCTCAAACAAAAACTTGGGGATGGATTGTCAACAAGCATTCCCAACAAGAAATGTTGAAAATTCTGTGAGAAAGTATGTAAGTCAGAAACTTCTAAACATTTTTTAAAAGGTGCTGAGAAAAAGATAAAATGCAAGTAAAATTAAAATTTATTCTTTGTTGTTGTTGTTGTTGGGGAGCTGAGGCACATATGGCGGTGCACGGGGCTTAGTCCTGGCTCCGTGTGCAAGAATCACTCTTGGGATATCAAAAGCAGTGCCAGGGTTCAAAGTGGAGTCAGCCATGTGCAAGGTAGGTATCTTAACCCCTGTACCATCTCTCTAGCCCTTTTTCCTTATTCTTAACTTCTCTAGAATATTAGTTTAACATTAATAATTTGATTGGACAAAGATAGTTCAACAGGCTGGAAAGAATGATTTCATTTAAAAGGCCAGGGTTCCATCCCTAGTAGCACTCTAATCCTTTGTCATCTCCCCAGCTCTATTATCTGATTCTGAAGAAAAAAAACTACCGATTATGCCAGAGAAGTACAATGCTTAGAGCACTTGCTTTGCAATTGGCTGACCGGGTTTTATTCCCCGAACCACAAATGGTCCTCAGAGTCCCGCCAGAAGTGATCCTTAAGTGCAGAGCAGCAGTAAACCTTGAGCATCACCAGGTATGGCCCAAAAACCGAAGGGAAAAAGAAAAAAGGAAAGAAAAGAAAAACACTACAGGGCTGAAGTCATAGTATAGTGGTAGGATGTTTGCCTTGCACAGGACTGACAGAAGTTCAATCCCCCCATCCCACATGGTCCCCTAAGTCTGCATGGTGTAATTCCTAAACACAGAGCCAAGAGTAACCCTTGAACCTAGTGCTGGGTGTTTTTCTCACCACCACCAAAAAAAAAGGGGGGGGGGAGGGGTTCCAATTTGATAAGCGCTATTCTGTAACAAAAATCTAATAAGAGCCTACATTTTTACAATAGAAAAATACTTAAAAGAATTCACTCAGGGACTGGAGCAACAGTACATTAGGTAGGGTGTTTGCTTCATATGCATCCACTGTGGTTGATCCCTAGTACCCTATCTAGTCCCCAGAGCCCCACTAGGAGTGATCCCTGAGTGCAACCCTAGGAGTAAGTTTTGAGCACTGCCAGTGTAACCCCAAACAAAACAAAATATAAAAAAAAAGAAATTATTCAGTTCAGCTATGTATTTCACACCATTTTTTGGCGTGTATGTGTGGGGAGGGGGTAGTTTGCTCATTATAACTATAATCTTCTAGCAATGAACAATACTTATACTAAAATAAGGTTTAGAAAGCACAGGAACTTGAAATACTAAATTCTGAATGCATGTATGGAAGTATGGATGTCAAGAAGTATAGAAACAAGACAGTATTAGAACTAAAGAAGAAAATGAGGGGGGTAGGGGACAGCCAGGAAATGATTCAGTGGCCAAAGCACCTACCTTGCATATATGTGTTTGATCCCTAGTGCCAACTTTCTTAGAAGCTCAGCTGTCTGAGATGTTGTTTCCTAAAAGTGTTTTTTCATCTCAGAGAAAAAACACTTTTAGGAAACAACATAGATGCCATACCATACTGGTCATTATTTTTTTGTATAAAGTATTTCCAAAAGTTAAGTGATTATATATAGCAACATTTAATAACTCAATTGTAATTTTAAATTTATTTCACCATAATATAAACTGCTCAACCTCTTTTCACTTATTGCTCCATAAGAAATAACTTGCATAAATATTTCATATTTTCAAAATTCTTCAAAATGAAAATTTTGAGGGGTTTTGAGCCACATCTGGCAAGACTTAGGGGCTACTTCTGGCTCTGTGCCAATCCCCACAATGCCCAGAGAACCATGTAGTGGCAGGGATCAAATCCAACAGGAGTAAGACTCATATGGAAAGTTCCTTTAACCCCTATGCTATGTCTCTGCCTGAAAAATAATTTTTATACTATGTTTCTAAGATTAATCTACAATATAGTTCTTGGGAATAAACTGTATTATTAGAGTTTTTAATTGTATACAGCAAGTAGGAGTGCCCAGGATAGACCAAGGGTAGAGAGCTTGTATTTTGCAGGCATGAGGCTGTTGAGTTCATTTCCTGACCCTGCCTCACAGACCAAGCAAGATCACAGAAGCATTTACTGGTATCACACAGAGCACATCTCCAGTGTACCACAACTTGGAGCAAGGGAGCCAACAAGTGTGCAATCCCTAATGAGCACGACTACCAAGTATATGAGAGTAACATAATAATTGTTTGTGCAATTCCTGTCATCACAACAACAATAAAAGGAAGGGAAAGGGAGGAAAGGGAAGAGGATGGGGAAATGCTTGTAATAGTACCTGGAACTAAACCTACAGATTAAGGAATTCTTAGGAAAATTAAACCTCTTGGCTCTTAAGCGCCCCCTGCTGGCAGCTACTGGAAATAAAGCACAAGATAAAAAGATTTTTTTTTTTTAAATTTGGGGAGATGATGGAAGATAAAGGATGAGTGTACTTACAGCTGAAACTGAAAGAAAAATACTCAAAACTAAATAATTATCTTCTCTAAGATTTTAGGACTTTCGAACATATTTGGGGTATGTGAAAAAGGGCTAAAAACAGGGGAAAGTTACTGTCTAGTTTCAACATATTACTATATCCAAATGCAGAAATGCCAAAAATTTTAGTACAGGGCTGGTGCGAGCTCAGTTGGCTGAGTCTTGCATGAGGAAAGCCTGGGTTAGGCTCCAGCATCACAGTTATCCGTGTACTGACAGGAACGACCCTTGAGCAGAGCCAGCAGAAGCCCAGAGTACTGTTTGGTATGACTCCAAAACAAAAATACAGGCTGGAGAGATAATATAGGGGGTTAAGGTCCTTGCCTTGCATGCTGAAGACCTGGTTCAATCCCCCATATCAAAAATTAAATGAAAAAAAAAAAAGTAGCAAAACAAAAATGTAGTATCAAAGGACCCAAAGACAGGGCTTAGTAGTAGAGCAAAAACGAAGGTTCTGAATTTGATCACAGGCATCACCCTCTCCTCGGTGTGATCCCCAATGTCACAATAACACTTGTTTAACACAACTGTGTGTGAACACAACCAAGTATGTGACTCCCAGACACTGCAGCAACAAAGGGGAAGAATAATTTAGTATAAAATAATAACCTTTGCATAAAAATTTCAGTCTAACAGTAATGGTATTACTCTAACCTTACATTTTCCTCTGATTTGTGGAAAATCCTAAAATAACATGTAGATAATAAAATTGTTCATCAAAAATTTAAAAAAAATAATAAAATAATAACCTAAATGATGGGTCTCATTCTCCTAAAGAGCCTTGAATATAATCTCAGGGCTAGGATGAAAGAGACGTTACTGGGGCCTGCTCGAGGCAATCGACGAATAACAGGATGATGAAATGAAAATGAAAAAATAACCTAAAAAAAGGTTATCATTTAAAATACAAAAAAAAAATAAGAATTTTAATTCGCGTCACACCTACAAATCCAAACCTCCATAGCATGTAAATTCATTGACTGGCCTTGTTCCAGAGACTCATAAATCTAGAAAGAGATAAACTTGCTGCAAAATTTCTCAGACAGCAGGGCACTCCAGGAGGGTGGGCCAACTCCGCCCAATGCAAGCACTGGCAGCTGCTCGCTCCCACACTCCTAAGTCAGCCACCTGCCTCCTGCAGGAAGCCAGCCTCACAGAGAAATTAACCTGCCGAAAACTCAGGTATGCAATAGGTCCCTGTGACTGAAATCTCCAGGCTGAGTCAGTATGAGCTACTTCCCTATACTTTCAGACGCCCTTGTAGTCATATCCACACCCCAAAGCTGCCACCCAGTTAAAATTTTAACTCAGTTGTACCACACAGTTAAAAATTCTGGACTTCCTGGAGCAGTATCTCCAAATACTAGTAGCAAACCAGATTGGATGGGATGTAACTAGAAGCCAATCGTGACTAACAAAAACACAGAAGGCTTAACTTGTGACAGTTTAGTAATCCCTCAGAAAAAGACTTAATGTCTCCATGGTGAGATACAACAGTTTACACTGACCTTCTTCTAAGGAAATGTTTTTTGATCATTTCATTACAATTTGTTGGTAAAAAGCAATATAGAATAAATTACTGTGGGTCTGCTATGAGGGCAGGCTTGAGAGGTGGTCGGGAAAACTGGAGACAATGGTGGAGGGAAGGCATTTATGGTGGTGGGATAGTTGTTGGAATATTGAACACCTGTAACAAATCATAAACAACTTTGTAAACCAGTGTTTAAATAATGGAGGGAAAATTTTTTTTTAACATACATAGGCCTGACCTATTTCATGTATACTACAAAATATTAGCACAGAATTTTTACATTTTATTAATGACAGGTAAGACATGATCATTACCATAATGAGATCTAAGTATGAAACAAAATTTAATGCAATGGATTTTAGATTCTGAAGTTGGAAACTTACTTGTATAAATTAAAATAGGCATTTTGCTATACTGTAATAAATGGTTTTAATTACCTTATTTACATAGGTCAAAATCATGCAGCAATCAAAAACTGGCTTTTACTGATTTATTTTCCAATCATTCTGTTTCCCATTTCTTTAAGTTTTGTTGGAGCAAGCAATATAAAGTAAATTTGTTATAGGACCAAGGAGACAGGTTGCAGTTGGGAGGGAAACTGGGGACATTGGTGGAGGGAAGGTCACACTGGTGGTGTTGGAACACTAAATGCCTGAAAAAACTATATTATAAATAACTGTATATTTCAGTGTTTTAATAAAAATAAAAATTTAAAAAACCTTAAATGTTTCATCCTTCATTACAATGAAAAACATATCACACTATTCGTTTCAATATTAAGGTTTATTTTTCCTTCCAGAGTGAGGTTAAGTAACAATTTAAATAATTATCAGGATGTATAAACAAACATCCATTCAGATAAACATTACTGCTTAAAAGTGGCTAAGAAATATTTTGCATGTAATAAATATATTTTATGTTTAGGTTAACAGGCACCATCTTGAGAGCAGAAAAGGTTTTTTTTAACCAATAAATAAATTACATTCAAGAAAACAATGTGTTTATATCTGAAGTATGATATATCCTTAAATGTTTTTCTTCATATAGCACCCAGACTTCCAAACTGTCTAGAAAGTATCTCCTAAAATATAACACATACCTTAAGTCATAAAAATAAAGGCCAAGAAAAAAATTTAAGACAATTTTATAGTTTATATTCTTAATTCCCCATTCAATAAAATACCAACTGCCAATTAAAAGTAAATTATATATGCACTGTTAGTGCTGAAAATCTGAAATATATATTTTTAAAAGTCACTCTTTCTGAAAGTATTTAAAATATTGCATCTCTGGTGGCAAACCTGAAAACTATGAAGCATCTATTTCCCCTAGTTTTCATATTCCCAGTCCCACCCTTTCATCCTTTAACAGTCATTGGTTTCTTTTTTTTTTTTCATTTTCTTTTACTTTTTTTTCCGGTAAATACTCTAACTTATATCCCAAACACGAAACACTGACAATCCTCCTTGGCAAACAAGGAAATCTCAGAACAGTCCAAGCCAGCTTTGCTCCCAGTGAGTGGCACAGGCTAAATGACAGGGGTTGGGGAAAAAAAATCAATGGCCTGTATTGATGCAGTCAGAATGCTCCTGAGAGTCCTTAATTGTTTGAGAATTTGCTGATGTAATCCTGAAGGAAGTTTCAACACAGTTTGCAGACAAGTATCAGAGAATAAGTCTTTGATTGATAATTTTTCTATTTATTTCTGCCAAGGCAACTGAAAACACGAAAGCCTTTTCATCAGAGAGGTTGGCATAGATGTCAATTTCCTTTTCCTGTTTCTCTGTTAAAAAAAAAAAAGTGAAAGCTTAATACAAAGACAGTAGATGCAGTAATTCCTTAGTTTGGCCTTTGTGTATTTCTTTAAATGGCAATATTACACAGAATACTAAAATACATGATAAATGTTAAAAGTTTTGCAGTGCTTTTAACATTCATAATTTAACATTTAAAAGTACTATGAAACAATTTTTTTATTATATAAAGATGTTACTAAAATGTGATGAACTAAATTCTATAACTAAATGGTGACTATGTATTTCTACATATATGTTTTTCTAAATTTTTGTTTGGGGGCCACAATTGGCAGTACTCCAAGACTCCATGTTCAGTGAACAAGTTTCACAAAAGAGGTGAAATGAGGACTATATGGTGACAGAACCCAGAGTTCCAGTATATAAAGCAAACAATCCAGATGTCTGTGCTATTTCCCCCAGTGTCCCAATCCTTCTTTATGGTTCTATAAAGATTAGTTCTATTTTCTGTTCTGCTTTTTTTTCCCCCTTTTTTATTTTGGGGTGGTGGTAAGGGAAGTAGTGGTGAGGGAAGTAGTGCTGAGAAGGCCTGGGAGCCCCAACTGTGATTCCTGGTCAATACAAAGGCCTGAGGATGCTGTGCAGCTTAGGCCCCTGCAGAGTCAGGAATTACCTAAGCCACTCCAGCAGTGCTGGAGGAATGCTTGGGGGCCATAGAAGCCAAGGACGGAACCCAGGTTGGGTATGTAGCTAATCACTGTACTCTCTCTCAGCTCTTTTACATTTTTTTTTTGTTTGTTTGGGGAGGCTACATCTGGCAATGTTCAGGGATTACTCCTGGCAGTACGCAGGGGAACATATGGGATGCTGGGGATCGAACCCAGGTCAGCTGCATGCAAAGCAAGCACCCTAACTACTGAACTATCTCTCAGGTCCTGCTTTTACTTTTAAATTAAAGTTAAACATACTGTGATATACTTGTCACAGAAAACAGAAGTATTCCTACTCATACACTCCAAAAGACAACATTGTTTTAAAAAATATTTCATACTATTTAAATTTTTTTATAAGTTTAGGCAATATGGTTATAAAAGGGTTGGTGTTTATGATATTGTTGTACAAAGTTATTGCGCTCTATCACCAAAGCACCCATGACTCTCTACCACTGGAGATATACTCTGGTACACTTGGCAGGTACCAACTCACTGCTCAATGCTCAGGGACCATGTGGTGCTGGAAACTGAATCCAGGGCTACTCTGGCACACCAGTCACTTTTCCCCCCCAGTTGTTACATTCTGTTTATATATTTTAAGGATGAATTTTATATGGTACCACTTTTTTTTTTGATTTAGGTATTACAGATTTGACTTTTCACCATAGGAAATTCAATTCTTTGCATCTCATCCCATCCTCCAATTAGTGATAATTTCAATTTTTTGTAGCCTTCAATTTTTTAAATTATTCTATTCAAATAACTATTTTCCTTGTATATTACTTTCCCTAGGAGATTCCTTTCCCATTAGCTTAACTTTAATAATTGAACCCAAATTTTCTACTTGCATAATTTTCTAATGTTTATACATATTAAAAAGAATTATAAATTTTATCTTCTTGAAGAAAAATTTCTCCAAGTCTCCAATCTGTACCAAAACAAAATGAGTGCTAGGCAAAACATGTAATTATCAACTTGATATTTCTTTTTTAATATCATGCTGGATATTCTCTTCATGTTTTCTTGAGTTGGATAGACCACATGCTCTGGTTTTCAGGGTACTTTCTTAGTTTACTCAATTTTTATGGCAGGGTAGTACCTTGCAGTGTGTTAGAGGAGTATAGAGAGCAAACTTTTGAAATGCTGGATTAGAAAGCATAGTTCGTAATTTAGTTAATAGAGACTCATGGGTTTTCTTCTTAGTATTTTTAACACAAAAACATTGTCTTCCAATTATTAGTGTCACTTTTAAAACCCAGTAATTTTTTGTAATTATTTGAAAATTTCTGTAAAATTACATAGTAAAAAAATTACATAGTAAAACGCACACATCCTAAGTGCTAAGTGTACAAGAAAATGAGTTCTGACAGATACATCCATGTAATCCAAACCACAGTCATGTTATAGAAAGGTGCTCTGCTCTGTTCCAGCCTCTTCTCTCTTCTCCCCCGGACCCACCCCAGCAACCACTGTTCTATACCAGATTCATTTTGTCTCTTCTCTCTTTGATTTTGGGCCACACTTAGTGGTGCTCAGGGTTTTTACTCCTTGGTCAGTAGAGGATCACTCACTTCTGGCAGTGCTCAGGGGACCATATGGGGTGCTGGAGATCAAACTCAGATCAGCCTTGCGACAGGCAAGCACCCTGTCCTCTATACTATCTGGTCGCAATTTTGGATCTTCTTAAATTTCATATAAATGGTGTTCCACTATTAGCTGGGGTGGGTGAAGCACACTTAAAGAACTTCCCTTTACAATCTATTTCTAAAAGAAACAGAAACGGTGTCTCTTACAAAGAAAGATTGTGAGAGGCCAGAGATAATGCCTGCCTACTGCTGATTCTGATGCTTGCATACATGCATCTTATAGTCCTCATTATAGAGTAAGGATGTCTGGAGTTTGGTTAACACCTCTACCATCCCACAAAACTCCAAGGTTTATTATCTTAGAAGTATCTTCCTGACTGCAATTTTGTTTCCCAGAGCAGGGCTCCACACTTTTAAAAGTTCATTTCCATATACCTACACTCTTAAAGCTCCTTTGTAAGGCAGTAATTTTTTTCCTTTGTTGATATTTCTTTACCTAATTTTCCTTGTTTTAGGCTTATATTTTCAAATCATCCCATTGTTAAAGAAGCATGCAGAAAATTCAAAATCTCTAGAAGACCATAATACCCAAGGAATTACAAGAGTAAGTGTAGTCCTCACAGGATATAGTCAAATATAAAATACATTCCTTTAGTCACAATATTAAGAAACATTGGTATTAACATTGCTATACATTAGGGAGTAGTAAATGAAGTTACATTCCCAACAGCAGTAACTTTTTACAAATAAAAGCTCAGAAAACAGAGAAAAACAGGTAAAAATTCTTGCTGCCTAGAAAGTTTATATATTAATGCATGTATACCTAAGAGTAGCTTAAAAAGCAAAACTTAATTCACAATAACATAACAAATACATTTCATTGAAAATGAAACCATTTTGAGATATTACAAAAAGTATCCCTTTTCTCCTCCATGTACTTACTGTCTTAAAACTCTCTTAAAACTATTTTAAAAAGATAGTCATGGGGACTGGAGAGGTAGTACAAATAGGAAAGGTGCTTGCCATGCACCTGACCCTCAAAACCAATACAAATAAATAAGATGATCATGGATGGAAGGTACCAAATGATAACATATTCTTGGCCTGGATTACAAAATTAAAAATGCCAAGTAGGGGAAGAAAGCAAGAGCAGGGTATTAAGAATACTGGCTGAGGAACTGGACATTTTATTTTGGTGGTAAAGAGCTGAGGTAATTGTGTACGTCAAAACTGTATGTGCAAGAGAGAGAGAGAGAGAGAGAGAGAGAGAGAGAGAGAGAGAGAGAGAGAGAGAATAGAAGAGGAAAAAAATCTTAAGTGCAAACACTATTATAAACATGTGACCCAAATGAATTAAAAGCTTTTTTTTTTTTAAATAAGTTTTCTGGGGCCAGAAAGATAGCATAGTGGGGCATATGCTTGCCTTGTACACAACTGACCTGGGTTCGATCCCTGGCACTGTAAGCCCTTCCAGGAGTGATCTCTGAGTGCAGAGTCAGGAGTAAACCACAAGAAACACCGGGTGTGAGTTTCTTGGGCTGAAAAGATAGTTTAGCAGGCAGGGTGTTTGCCTTGCATGCGGCTAACCCAGGTCCAATCCCCAGTACCCTGGTAAGGTCCACCAAGCCCCACCAGGAGGGATCCCATAGTAGCAACAGATGTGGCCCCAAAGCAGAACAAAATTTTTAAAAAAAGAAAGAAAAGGGAATTTGTTAAGGGAATGGAGTGGGGATATGGGAGGTGACCTTGAAGACAGGTGGCATTCACTGGTGGTCAGTATGAAGCTGAATTGCTGTACACCTATTATTAACAGTATAATAAAGCAGTAAAACTCTTATTAACAGTACTGTAAATAATAATACCTAGAGAAAAATTGAAATAGTAAATACAGTTTCACAAAGTTATTCATGGACTAAGAGGGAATTCATTATACTATGCTTGTGTAAACTTTGAAATTTTCCACAATTCTCCTTATCTAAGGAGAAATATAAATATGCTGTGACCCAAAAAGAATTATTAAAAATTATACTAAACATGAACTTTTTTTTTTATTTAAAGCTATCTTCAAACTATTTTTTAAATTTTACTTATTTTTCAAAGTGCCATGTCTGGTGGAGCTGAGGAGCCATGTACTCAGGGGTGACCCCTGAAGGTAGTCAGGGGACATTGTGTGTTGCTGTAAGCCAAGTACCTTAACCTCAGTACTAAAGGACACGTTCAGTAGAAAGGTTTTTTAATTTTTGAAATACATTTTTTAACAGAAATCAGACTTCTCTTTAAAAACTTAAGTGTAGTCATATTAATAAGTTTCTTCAGGATGTCATATACCAAACTGTTCTCTGAATTCTACTAATCATTAATTTCCAACAAGGCGAATATTTCCTTGCAAAAACTTAAAAATTTTTGTTTTCCACAAAGAACTAAGTTTTTTTGATTAATTTTAAACTATAAAACAATCTACCTTTAAGAAAACACTTTTAAATTAAAATCTAAGTTGTGATTTTAAGTTTAGAAGTTCAATATCTATCAAACACTGTTTTCATTATTATCTTAAGACCTTGGAAAAATACAATACATGGGAGAAAAACAGTCACTGTCACTGTCCTCCCATTGTTCATTGATTTTCTCGAGCGGGCCCAGTAAACGTCTCCATCATGAGACTTGTTGTTACTGTGTTTGGGATACTGAATACATCATGGGTAGCTTGCCAGGCTCTCCGAGAGGGGCAGAGGAATCGAACTCGGGTCGGCCATGTTGGCTGCGTGCAAGGCAAATGCCCTACCCGCTGGGCTGGGAGAAAAACAGTACTTGAATTTATTCATACCTCTTTCTTCCTCATGTTTTTTGGCAGATGCACTTTTAGGTCTTCCTCTTCCGCGTCTGATGTGATCTGAATGGCTGTTGCTTCGAGATCTCTTTCTGTTTTCTAAATCCTTAGTAACTGTAGAATTTATCTTCTCCCGCCTAGCTCTCTCTGTTCGTCTCCTCTTTGCCTCATGTTTGTTTTCTGTACGGATAAGTAAAAAGAACATATTCTAAGAGCTTAGCAAGAGCTGTCTGCCCAATTCCCATTGGCTTCCTTTGTCTTTTGAAACTGCATCTGGATTTGCTGGTTTTGTCCCTCATACCATATATAAAAAGAAGTTCAAAAGAAATCAGATTTACATTAACACTTAAGAAAAAGTCAGCTTTATTAATTTGAGACTTCTGATTTCAGTGCCTACAAGTTCATAATAACATCACAGTAACCTTTCTGTCCTTTTCCCTCCAGTAAGCCAAAAATGTTGGTTAGAAAAATAAAAAATAAATTATTTCCCCTTATCCAAATTATAGACTGAAAAAGGTCACACACATAGAAGCAAAACTGACCTTAAAAATAACACAATAAAGTCACGAATCAAAGTAGAAGGCATCCCATAATGTTTATTGAAGACAAAGTTGGCAAAACTCTCCATGATATTGAAGTTAATGGTATCTTCAAAGATGTCACGCCACTGGCCGAGCAAGTGAAAACAGAGATAGACAAATGGGACTATCTTAAATTAAGAAGCTTCTGCACCTCAAAAGAAACAGTGACCAAAATACAAAGACAGCCTACAGAATGGGAAAGAATATTCACCAAACACACATCCGACAAGGGGTTGATATCAAGGATATACAAGGTACTGGTTAAACTACACAAGAAGAAATCACCCAACCCCATCAAAAAATGGGGCAAGGAAATGAACGGAAACTTTCTCAAAGAAGAAATCCGAATGGCAAAAAGGCACAAGAGAAAATGCTCTACCTCACTAATCATCAGAGAGATGCAGATCAAAACAACAATGAGATATCATTTCACACCACAGAGACTGGCCCACATCCACAAGAACAAAAGCAACAGGTGCTGGCGCGGATGTGGCGAGAAAGGGACCCCCTTCACTGCTGGTGGGAATGCCGACTGGTCCAACCCTTTTGGAAAACAGTATGGACGATTCTCAAAAAATTAGAATTTGATCTCCCATTTGACCCAGCTATAGCACTCCTGGGAATATATCCCAGAGAGGCAAAAAGGTATAGTCGAAGTGACATCTGCAATTGTTTGTTCATTGCAGCACTCTTTACAATAGCCAAAATCTGGAAAAAACCTGAGTGCCCGAGAACAGATGACTGGTTAAAGAAACTTTGGTACATTTACACAATGGAGTACTATGTAGCTGTTAGAAAAGATGAAGTTATGAAATTTACATACAAGTGGTACTACATGGAAAGTATCATGTTAAGCGAAATGAGTCAGAAAGAGAGGGATAGACACAGAAAGATTGCATTCATCTGGGGAACATAAAGCAACAAAACGGGAGACTAACACCCAGGAATGGCTGAGATTAGTACCAGGAATTTTGCTCCATGACTTGAAGGCCAGCCTCATGTGCTAGGTGAAAAGGAAGCTCAGATAGAGAAGAGAGCGAAGAGAGCACCAAATGAAGGGTGTTGTGAAGACCCTCCCAGGGTGGGAGAGACATGCTAAAAGTAGTCTATAGACCAAACATGATTGCCACTCAATGCCTTTCTTGCAAAACACAGTACCCAAAAGAAGAGAGAGAGAACAAGGGGGAATGCCCTGCCACAGTGGCAGGGTGGGACGGGGGGGGGGGGGGGGGGGGGGGGAGGGGGATGAAGGGTGGGAGAGATGCTAGGACCCGTGGTGGGGGAGGATGGGCACTGGTGGAGGGATGGGTACTTGATCATTGTATAACTAAAACCCAAGCACAAAAATTTATAAGTCTATAACTGTACCTCATGGTGTTTCACTAATAAAAAAAAACAAAGTAGAAGGTATCTACTGAAAATATGAAACATCAGAAGTGAGTGTTTGGGGCTGAAGCGATAGCACAGCCGGTAGAGCATTTGCCTTGCACGTGGCTGATCCGGGTTCGATTCCCAGAATCCCATATATTCCCCCAGCACCACCAGGAGTAATTCCTGAGTGCAGAGCCAGGTGTAACCCCTGTGCATCGCCGGGCGTGACCCAAGAAGGAAAAAAGAAGTGAGTTACTACTTTAGCAAAAGATTAAGTAATTTCTGACATTCTAAGATATGTTGAATTTCCTAAATGAAATATTAAATTTTAGTTTTCTCAATATGGTGGTAATTAAGTTCAGAGATCACCCTTCTTAGTACAAACACATCTAAATGTTGGATAAGACAAGGAATCAAAAAATACCCTTTTTTAATATACACCTGAACTCAAAAGCAAGAAGAGAATTTCCCCAAAGCCTAAAAAATCACAGCAGTAAAAAATAATAAAATTTTTTATCTCAAGAACAAAAGGAAACAATATAATATACTAAAATGTTAAAGATGACATACAGATGGCTATAGGCACATTGAATTTTGGGTCACACCCAGCAATGCTCAGGGGTTACTCCTAGCTCTGCACTTAGGAATTACTCCTGGCAGCGCTCAGGGGACCATAAGGGATGCTGGGGTTAGAACCTGGGTCAGCCGTGCGCAAGGCAAAAACCCTACCCATTGTACTTTCTCTCAGGCCCTGTAAGTGATCATTATTATCATCACTCATTTCTAGGGAAATGAGAGAAAAATTAAAATAAGATTTCATCTAGCACATGCTGAGAATGGTCGTTATGAAAAGGCCAGAAACAACAAACACTAGTAAGGAGAATACTCAAAATATTAAAAATAGATTTACCATATGAACCACCAATTCTTTTCCTAGCTCTCTAAAGAACACAGTAAACATAAACTCAAAAGGATCCATGTGCACACATGTTCACTCACTACAGCACAATTTACAATCCAAGTGTTCAAACACAATGTGTATAAAGATGATGATACAAAAACACAATGGGATACTATTAAGCTATAAGATAAGGTGAAATCTTGCCTTTTGTAACAACATGAATGAAACTGGAGGGGGGTAAGTTAAATAGAAAAATACTGTATGCTGTTTGTTTCTCCACCACATCCTGCTGTGCTCTTGGTGTGTGGGGGTCACTTATGGCAGTACTTGGGGACCATGTGGTGCCAGGAATCAAACCCAAACCTCACACAAGCAAGTCAAGTGCTCTACCGTATGAGTGAAGAACACTGAATGATCTCATCCATATGTAGCACTGTCCTCCCGTTGTTCACTGATTTGCTTGAGCGGGCCCAGTAACATCTCCATTGTGAAACTTGTTGTTACTGTGTTTGGCATAACGAATATGTCATGGGTAGCTTGCCAGGCTTTGCCGTACGGGCAAGATACTCTTGGTAGTTTGCCGAGCTCTCTGAGAGAGGTGGAGGAATCAAACCCTGCTTGGCAGGGTCGGCTACGTGCAAGGCAAACTCCCTACCACTGCGCTATCACTCCAGCCCATACGTAGGATTTAACTATACAAATCAGGGTCAGAAAAATAATATAGTGGTTAAGGCAACTGCCTTGCATCCTGTCAACCCCAGTTCCAATCGCTGTGCCATATATGATCCCCTGAGCACCATTAGGACAGGATCACTTCTGAGCAGAAAGTACAGAGCTGAGCAGGGTCCCTGAAAACTACCCAAGGTAGAGAAAGAAAGAAAGAAAGAAAGAAAGAAAGAAAGAAAGAAAGAAAGAAAGAAAGAAAGAAAGAAAGAAAGAAAGGAAAGAAAGGAAAGAAAGGAAAGAAAGAAAGAAAGAAAGAAAGAAAGAAAGAAAGGCCTAGCAAGAGAACAGACAAATTTGAAAGCAAATCCTTGCACTCTGACCACAGAATTGAGGTGAATGAATTGAGAGGGAGGAGAGGATAGAATGGATATAACATGAGGGGCATGAGAAGGGCAATGGACAGTAGAAAAAGGATACTGGTACCTGGGTAATGGGCACTGTGTGGTTAACATATTTTGAAGAGGTTTGAAATTCTAGTACTAAAATTAACATAAGTCTTGTAAACCATTGCTCAAAAAAAAATGCAGTCAGGGAGATGCTCTAAGTGTTCATGCTTTACAAGTGGACATGATCCCTGATACCACATGATCCTGAGTCTGTCAATAATATACAACTTTAAGCCATCTATTGACGCAACACAAAATACCAATGGCATTTTTCAAGAACGTCAAAAAAATTTTTTAACTGAATCACTGTGATATATTTCTCTCCCCCCCCCCCCCCCCCCTTTTCCTCTTTTCCTTTTAGGCACTGTGGTTTGCAATACTGTTACTGAAAAGACACATGACTTTATTTCCTTTCAGCACTCGGTTCTTGTCCAGAGTGATCATTTCCAACTATCATTGTCAAAATGGTCCCATCTCTGCCCTAACTGCACTCCCTCTCCCTATTGTGGGAAGCTTCCTACCATGGACTAGTACTCTTGGCCCTTGTTTCTACTTTCTTTGGGAATTATTCACTTACCATGTTTTTTCCCTTTTTTTACACCCTGCAAATGAGTGCAATCTCTTTGTCCCTCTCCTTCTGATCATTTCACTCAGCATGATACTCTCCATGTCCATCCATGTATAAGCAAATTTCATGACAATTTTTCCTAAGAGCTATGTAGTGTTAAAGAAACATTTTTTTTTTTCTTTTTGGGTCACACCCGGCGATGCTCATGATCAGGGGTTCTGCATTCAGGAATTACTTCTGGTGGTGTTCACAGGACCGTATGAGATGACAGGGATCAAACACAGGTTGGCTGCATGCAAGGCAAATGCTCTATCTGCTATACTATCACTCCGGCCCCCAATAAACAACATATTTTTTTTTATTAGTGTCTGTAACCAAATTTATCCCTGAGGCCCAAGGTAAGGGGATCAGGGCCCATGAGTCACATGTTGCTGTGGCAGCCTTTTGGGCCAGTGCCTGCCATGGGTTGGGCAGGCACTGAATTTGACATAGCTGCAAACAACATTTTTTAATAGAATAATTTTTTAACTTGTATGGAACCACAAAAAGTCCCTAAATAGCCAAGGCAATTTTGAGAGAAAAAAAAAAGAGAATGGAAGGATCACACTGTCCGACTTCAAACTATATCACAACCTAACAATAATTAA